TGAACTCAGAATTTATACATTTTTTAAGGAATTTTCAATAAACATTCATAAAAAGAAGTATTGTATGAATACCAATCACGTTAACGCAAAACCTATACCAACTTTTATTATACATAGTTTGACGTCCTTGAAAATCAAATTTCATGCATGGACGTCAATTTTTGTAGGAGAGGAGTAGCATTTTAAAATCACTTCCAAAATTTTAAGTTTTTTCCTAAAAGTTTTTTTATGAAATTTTGAGCACAAAATTTGTTTAACATAGTATGCATACATAGGAGGCAACCAAAAAATTTTTAAAAATCCTTAAATTAAAAATTTTTGCGTAAATCGTGCCATGTCCCCTTAAATTATTACTGGTGGGTTTTAGAATTTTAAGTACCATAAAATCTGGCGTATAACACGCACCCCTTTTTTTACGAAGAAACTTGAAAAATACATATGCAATGCTCGTATGTTTTGAAGTCAATTATTCGAGGAATTATTGCAGGCTGTTGAAAGATAGTACATTTCTAGGAATACAGCCCTATAAGTTCATAAGAAATGATATTTCTTTTAAAAAAAGTATTTTGATATATGTAGAAGTTTACCTTTTTTTCTATACTCATCTTTTTCATTTTTCAAACTCTCATTATTATACCCGGCGTATAATGCACACCCGTAAATTTCGATCTTATTTTTGGTGTTGAAAGTGCGTGTTATACGCCAAATTTTACAGTAAATATTTAATTCAGTATATAACGATTTGTTTTAAATTAAACTACTTGCAGGATAGTTTTAACATACCCAGAATATCGTTTAAAGTTTGCTTTTTTTGGAAATAACAAAAAAAAAATAACATTTTTTTATATATGAAACTTAAACAAAATGAAGGACATAAACGTGTTTTAAAACATCTACAATTAATTATTCACGCATTTTCATCATTGTAATCTAATACATATCGCATTTTACTTGTTTTTGAGCAATTACTACTGAGCAATTTAACCTGTCACATGTGTATCATTCTCTCTCGCTAAATGGATATAATTAAACACTTACTAAATAAAAAAAACCAATAAAATAATTTTTTTTTTTTTTTTAAAAATGCTTTTACTTTTAAAAAGATGATCTCAATATTTTCATTGACAAAGTTTTATCTATTTTTTGAATGAGATATAATTCTTATTTATTTTGTCACATGGTAAGGATATGGAGCAAAAAACCCTTAAGAGTCAAATCTACATGAATTTCATTCTAAAAAAAAATGTGATAGAAATATAAATTCACATTCTATATTTATATGGAATATATCATAAACTAATTATAGAGTAAACACCATGGCAAAATACAAGATTAAAGGAAAATACTTTTAAAGTATAATCTACCTATAGAAGATATATGTATATACATATACTAGAGGACCTGACAGACGTTGTCCTGTACATACATCTTAAATTCAAAAATTCCAAATTTTTATGAATAAGATTTAACAACCTGGACCGTTTTGAGTAAAATTGTATTAAAAAGGTATTACAATGTTATTATGTGTCAAGTTTTATACTTTCTGGGTTGCTTAGAAGTGAAACACACACATATATACAGGATTGTTGTTGTTTTCTGATACCACCTGTCTGACGTAGTCAGATCGAGGCCCACGAAATTCATCGTGGCATGGGCAAGAGGTACGCCTGTCGTTGTCCTTGAGCACCATACAGGTGACAGTGCGATTTTAGCTCGGTGAAATTCCCCGAAGGGACGATAGATGGCGACACGACCTCTATCTCCACCTCCACAATTTCTGCATGTAAACTGAAGGGGAGGGAAATATTCTCCAGTTCCTACGTTCGAGATTAAGCCCACAAGACTACGGACCCACTGATTTAACGAGCACGTACTCCGTGTGTACTCGGAGGGTGTTTGGTGGCATCGGGCATCGAACCCAGGCCTTCCGGTCTGGAGTCCGATGCTCTAACCACTAGGCTACCCACAGCTCGAAGGGGAAAAAAAAGGATAATTGTTGTCAACGCACGTGTAAATTTAATAGAAAATCATGTAAAATACTCACTTCAATTGCATACTAAATTTGGAGAATGTATAGTTTTTTATAAACACTTCAAAACTCTTCAAACACTAATTACATCTGAATGTAATAATTTAACTAACACACGATTTATTTCAATAAAATAATAACACGAAGTGACAATATATTTTCCTGAAATGATCACAGCACCAACTGTCGGAACCAACTTGAATTATAATAAAATATTTTTGAATATTCTATACTGCGATCGTAGCGCAGTCTGCCGGATCCAATATATAAAACATTCCAAGATCAACAATTTTAAAATAAAAAATTAATCAAATAAATATTTCTAAACCGAATTATAAATCTAAACCATTCTCGAGTCCACTGGAACAGACAAAAACTTTCATCAAAATCAGTCCAGCCCTTTAGGAGGACTTCTGTTACATACACACGCACAGAAAAATTATATATATAAAGATTATTTAAAAAGATATTAACTAAAAACGCGCGCTAAACAGCGTGAATCGTCTGCATTTTCGTAACAATAAAGACCGGGTTTGGCCAGTTTGGCTGAAAATCAATTTTCGACGCCAACTTACGTTTTTTCAATTCCTACTATTAGCTCACGATCTCTATACACATTTTATTTGTTTGTTTGATTATTTATTTATCTGGGTGGAATTTTCAATCGTTTATAAAATACATTTTCAAGTGCTCAATTGAGCTGAAATGTAATGTACATGATTATTTTGGATGACAATACAATACTTTAATTATAATTAATAAAAATTAATTGATTAAAACTAATTATTTAAAAAAATTACAAATACAGCCACGTTGGCGACTTAGTGACCCTTTTGGCGACTTATGTCAAAATTTGAAAAGGTTTTTCTCACATGTTAAAGCATTCAGTTGAAAGGAAATTTTTTATACACGATTGTTTTGGATGACAATACGATATTTTAATGATAATTAATAAAAATTAATTACCACTTAATGTTGTGATTCTATCATATGTATATACATATTTATATTAATTGCTACTATTTAATAAAAAGTACCTAAAATAATTTTTTTCTGGGTTTATCTAAGAAGGCATTGATTAAATTTTTTTTATATTACTTGTTCATAACAATAACGTTGTTACAACAATGCAGGTGTATGTTGAGTTGTATTTTTTGAATGATTTTAATTAATATATTTTTAACTAATTGCGATATTGGACCGAAATGTGAATCTAAACCATTCTCGAATTTACTTGAACCCACACAAAACATTTCATCGAAATCGGTCCAGCCCTTTAGGAGGAGTTTAGTGACAAACACACTCACAGAAGATTTTTATATAAATTATAAAGATATAGATAAATTTGTTTGCAAAACACTTTATGCATATATAACATGAGGCTTACAGACATAGCATCATTATAAAATTTAAAACAAAATTAAAAGTACATTTAAGAGACAAATATAAAATAAAATGAAGAGAGGAAATACACATATATAAAAAATGGAGGTACCTCTCTATACAGCTTTAAAAATCTATACAGTAAACAAATTTTCTTAAGGAATTAAAAAAAAAATTCAGTACAATTGACCAATAAAGACATAATAGGCGGCCAGGAAATACCTAAGCGTCTCAACTCCTTTTTAAAATTTACTCTTTTACAAAAATATAGGTTACAATACAACAAGACATGTTCCATGGTTTCAGTATCCAGACCACAAGAACAAATATCATTACCAATTAAATTAAACCTAGATAAATAGCTCTTAAAATTTCCATATCTTGTAAGAATCGGGATAACTTAAAATCAGTATCAAATTTTGATTAAAAAGTAGATTTGAAATGCATTTTCAGAACTATTATTTTAAACTGCTAACTTGCATCTTTCTTACAGAGTAGTTTTTTTTAATTGACTAATATTAAATACATTATTTTTTTAGAGAAAATATAAAACGTATAACTATCATATACATGATTCTAAGAAAAAAATCTTTAAAACATTTGTTGTATTAATATATATTACTACTAAAACAATATGTCAAATGATGCAATTTAAATGTAGACTTTTCCCCACTTGTTTCTAATACACATATTTAAGTTAGTTTTATAGTCACTCTTTATTAAAACCTAACAATTTAACTTTAAAGCAAAGTTTCTGTAAATTTTTCTATTTCTGTATACTTAAAGAAAGTTGAAGTTTTAACTTTCGAGTCAAAAGTAAGAAATCATCGAATGAGGTTGAATTTAAAATAACCACTGTAACTTGGAGTTAGACGTATCTTTATGTATTAGTTTTGCGAAAGCTTCAAGGGAAGCTCCGAGACTTTCAGGACAGTAAACAAACCTAAGGGCTTTCATTACGGTTTCCAAACTTTCTAGAAATGCCGAACTAGTTGAGTGGAGTTTTCAGATGTGCTTGGCAATATTTCTTAATTTTAGAGAAAGTGCTCTCTTAGATGCAGTTATATGCAACAAAATGCGTTGATTTCTGCTTATTTACATATTATAAGCTTTAGAAAAAATATTTACGAAAGCTGAACCATTATTTTATGAAATTATGAACAACAAAAAAAGGAACTTATTCCGAATTTTTTCAATTCTTCTTAATGTTTCATCAATCATAGTTCTGATTAAAAACATTTTATACATTTTACTTTGATCCAACAGTGTATTAACACATGATAAACTTTTTAAATCCCAGCATAACAAGTAATATAAAAAAATTAAGTCAAGTTCAACTTAAGACAACAAAGAAAGTTTTATTTTAGTTACTTTTTATTAACTAGTTACAATTAATGTAAATATGTATATACATGACAGAATCACAATATTAAGTGACAAAATAGAACTCGATTTTTCTTGCAATTATCCATTTTCCTTTCTATTTAGGGTTTTGGACTATTTTTTGTTAATATTGATTAATTAATTAAATTTAATTATACTAGTGAAATAGTACAGTAAAAAAGAAGTCACATTCTCAGAAGTCAGGCCTCCCAAGTGGGATTAGAACCCACGACCTTTGGATTAAAAGTCCAATGCGCTTCCATTGCACTACAGGGATAGATCGAACGATTTTCCTTCCTACATATGCTGTTGGACTATTATGTTTCTTACTATTTATTCATTTTTTAATTCAATTATTGAATTAATATTTGAAAAAACTACATTAACATCAAGTACCATCCAATACAAGTTTAAGAACATGTATTTGAACTTGAATGGATGAATAGAATGTATTTTATTAACGATTGAAAATTGAACGTTGTATATATATATAGAGAGAGAGAGAGGGGGGACTAATAGTAGGACTTGAAGAATTCCTTAAGATTGTATTAAGTAGCAGATGCAATGCCCCTATAAAAAGATTTTACATGTTGTGTTAGTAATGATTTGATTGTTTATTAACAATAAAAAAAAGTGAATGAATGATGACCCTCGTAATTTTGAACTTTGGTCAAGTGACGAGGACAACAGCTGAGATATAACCCTCCCTCTATACTACTCCGAAGAGAGGGAATAGGCGCGATATATTTGACGTGCATCTGTCCCTCTACGTAGCGGGTACTCAGAAATACTAAGGCTTGAACTCGAGACACGTCCGCCATAAACTCGTGTCCATAACTACAAGGCTACAGAGACAACATAATAACAAAAGAAAGCCTAAATATTGTTTGAGCTAAAATCTTCTCTGCCGTAAGAAGTAAATAATTTCATATAAACCACGTACAGTTCGTTCGTATTTGCAACACGCCGGTCACGAGTTCGTGACCGTAACCACTAGGCTGCCACGGATACCAAGATTTATAGATGAACGTTTTGGTCAATTTGTAACGGGTTCAATTCGGGTTTCTACCAACCCTGATGGAGAAAATGTTCTTTCACTGTAATATAAGTTTAAAAACCACTTTCCGTAGATATGGCTTGGTTTATGCAAATTCAACTATTATTTAAGTGCCAATCGTTGAGTAGGTGGTGTAATGGTTATGCGTTGATCGCAAGATAATTTCACAGAGTTGGTAGTCAGTGACTAGTGGTCGTTCATCGTAAGATTGATAGTGAAGGAGAAACCGCTAGAAAAGTGGATGAGTTATTAGGCTGCGCGCCACAGAATACAAAGAGATTTAAGTTAGATAACTTCTTTTAATAATTTAGTTATATAAATTCGAGTAAAGAGTTCTTATTGTTCTCAAGTTAAGTTATTAAAGTGCATTTTGTTAAGTATTTAAAGTTAGATAAACTTAGTTATTTTAATATACTTAGTTACTTAAAATATCATGTCTGCTTCTTACTCGGACACTTTTACACCCACAACCTCCAGGTCGCGACATATTGACGTTTACGCTCCACTATCTAAGCTTTTAAATCGCACCAACGTGAGAACTTTGAACCTATTCTTGAAAGGTAACATGCATCAGTCTCTATACGATAAGTCTTCAGGACATAAGCCCGTGACTCGACAGGAAACACAACGCCGTACACAAGTTTGCAACCATGGCCATTCCGTTATAGCTGCCATGGTATGTTTTAAAAGTAAAGAACAAACATCATACTTCTATACATTTGATGCCAGACATATTTAATAAATTGTGGAGAATATAATACTCTTCCTTTTTTATATGAAATACGAAAATATTTTTGTAATTTAATAATGTGTAAATATATTGTTACGTTTATCGGGGTTCGACGATTTTATGCAAATCAGTCGCAAAGAACAAGAGAGTTCTTTAGGAGTGATGTAAACATTTTGTCGAGAAAACAATCATTGAAATACAGGATTCAGCAGCAAAAAAAATTCACAGAATAAATTCTTCACACTTTCATCAACGCTCAGACACAACTATCAGTGTTTAAAATACACATGTGTAAAATATTATTCACAAGCACCGCTCGCCCTACTCAATAGCCGAGCTAATCGCTAATCTCTTCACGGTCAAGGCAAGACTACTAATCGCTAGTCAACACAATACTACTCAGTTTCCCTACTTATAGGCCTTATGGATACTTCGAGAAAAATACGCTGTGTCATAGATCATGAAATTAAGTTATTTCTCCACTAATTTCTAGAAGAATCCATAGGGCCCCGAACTCGCCAAAAATGGTCGCAACTTGGTCACTAAAATGATGCCAACATCTATCTAGAGCTGATGTCAACATCCTCAACTCTGTCACCAAGTTTCCATTGAATCGCAATTACAACGTAAGCGATGACGTTGCTTGCGAATATTACAATTTTAACATAAAATAAATATAACAGAGTAGTAAAAATGCCTTACACATCCAAATACAAATTATTTATACCTTTTTACACAAAATTCGTAACAATATTATCATTAAAGGAAATAAAATAAGTTATCAATCACTTAGTCAAATGCTTCAGACGAAATATCCCGCACTACAGTTATGGGATAGCAATTAATAAGAGCAATTAAGAGCAATACGGACAAATAGCTTTAAATAAAATGAAACGTACTTTATTTTGATCTCTTTATCAAGTTCATTATTTAGAGCATGTCTAATTAAATTATTCCGCTCACACAAAAATAAAATTTTCATGTGAAATGGAAGCACTTCAGGAAATTGAAGCACTTGACTAAATTACTTTTAATTATAAATCAACGCTTTTGAATTTTCCCTTTTTATATTTCCGATACTAAAATAAGCTTTTAATTCACCAACATGTACTGAACTTCAGAGATTATAAATATTCTTTTCAGCAATAAAATATTTCCCCTCATAAAAGTTTTCCCTACATTATGTAATTCTTAAAGATGACTATTAATTTTGCAAACTGAGGCATATGCTTTCAGAGAATCTAACAAAAGATACATTATTTAAAAACTTAAGAACCGCAGAGGAATTTGAACAATGAAACCCAGAGAAGCGTGTGAACAAATTATTAAATTGTATCGATACTTCATTAAAACATTCCACCAAACAAATCAATACAGTTCTCCAATATTCCTTTTGATTGGATAGGAAACACTCGCTTAAAAATGCCGGATTAATCAGAGTAGGTTTTGGAAAAGGTATTGCAGTTACTAAGAAAAACCGATAATTTGGGTAACGGTTCTTAATCTAGCTCTGAGTTATTTATAAGTATATTTCGATTATCTTATTTTATGCATTGAGGATATATTTATAATTAAACTTTTCTTGGAGGAAATTCAATTTTTCCGCTGTAATTATTGAGTCTAGTTTTAATTATGCTTCTATGATATTGGAATTAAAAAACAACGATACAATATTGCATTTTTAATTAATTTTTATAGTTCTAAAATTAGATTTCTACCATTGTGTAATTAGAAGGAATCAATTTATATGTATTTTTAAAGTATCAGGTTATTTAGCAGACACAGAGTTTTCAGTAATTATTTTTCTCAGAGATAATTCCGTATCTTTATGGATCTTATTTGCTTCGTACTGGATAATGAAGGGAAAAAATTGGTACTTTGATTATAATTTTTCGATTCCATATTTGAAGCTCAATGTTTTAGCTGGCGGCAAAATTTATCAGTGTTCTCAATACAAATACAAATAATCAATGCTAAATAAAATATAGATAACTGGAATAGTACGAGGATTGGGGCAAAAGTCATGGCAACTATTTTTTTTTCTTGAAGTACCAGTCCGGTTTGAAAATGTGACATATACAGACGAAAGTTCAAGGTGTTTTATATACATGTGGGGACTGAATAGCACTGACATATCATAACACACTAATTTATTACGGTAGTATACAGGGCTATATGGCCTTCTCGCTGCAAAAGAATGACAACGCAGTCCACATAAACTTGACATGACAAACCTGGGCCTGTAGACTCTTAATGTAGTCTATGTTCCTTAATGTAATCCATGAGCTGCACACTGACCGGTCGTTCCGAACGTTGCTCATCATTGGTTACACACGTTTTTGCTGAAACTTTCCTATCCACCTTGCTACAGTACGGTATGGTATGGAATTATTCCCAATGGCTTCCACTAATTCGCTGTAACATTCCATCGCCTTTCTATCTCGGAGAACTGGTATTTTGATATAAACGCGCTGTTCAACACGGGTTACTTCCATCCCACACGACACTCACCAACTGACTGATTCCACAGCCCTCGCTGAGATACTACCAACTATCACAGAACCATCTGATGTTCTGCATACACACTATATCTGCAGAACTTCCACACGACACATATACGTTTGTGATCCGTTCACATATCTACAAGAAAAAAAATAATTGCCATGACCTATGCCCCGACTCTCGTATAAATAAAAAAATTGCAAGCTGAAATAAAAATTCTCCAGCATTTATCAAACGAATGCTTATGACAGGTTCTACCCGTGCGTCTTCTATTAATCGTCTTGGGGAAGCTATTCTTTAACTGTGAGTTTAAAAACCGCTTTCCGTAGAGATGACTTAGTTTTATGCTAATGGGTGTTTTAGGTTAATCGTGAAAAGTTAACAATTAATGTGATTTGTGAATTAGGAGTTGTGCATAATGAAGTTAGTACTGAAACGAAATGTCCATTCGGAGCGATGGAAGGGGAAAATAGGAGTTTCCTTGCACGAAGCGTTTGCAGTTCAGGAAGGAGTTGTCAAGTAAACTACAAGCAGATCACGTTATTTTGGATAATAAATACGTTGAGGGTTAAGATTAAGAGATTTCTCCCAAAGTTATTGAATTAGTTGTAAATTGCTCTTAACGTAATAAACCCTAAATATAAGCAATTACTTTTAAATAAAGTCTGCTTCTTTACTCTTACACTTGCAACTCCGGGTTGCAATATGCTTACTTTCTCATTGTGACTTAAGACAGAATGGAGAACAATAAAAAGTTTTAAAACTTTTTGTTCTGATACCATAAGAATCGACGAAAAGTAATAAAAAAAGTAAGTTAAGTTTTTTTTAAAGTAAAGTTTTAAGTATGTTAAGATAAGCTTTTCAAGTTTTTTTGTTCAGTGAAGTTTTGTTTTGTGTTTTTCAGAATATTTCGTGATACATAACCTCATTTTTTTACGTTAAATATTTGCTACCTTGAGCTTTTTTTGAAATTTAGGTACAGTAAAAC